TACCAAAGACTAATGTAAGCCAGACGAGCTTACCTGGTAAAAACCTAAAATACCCTTATTACATTCATAAAAATTTGATATTTTTATTTTCAGAACATTCTTTACCTTTTATTATTTATTTTTATTTTTATTTTTTCTCTAACAAAATAATATATCATGCAAAATATTTCACAGTCAACTTGCATATATAAATTTCAACATCAAACAAAAAAAAATCATTGTATTAAAAATAAATATTTACCCATAATTTATGTCTTAACTTCAAGAGAGTAGATACTTCAGTTTGCTTACAGAAAATTGCCTTCTTAGAGCTTTCTTTATTAAAATAATGAAATTATTATTTTTGGTCATTTTAACAAAATTAAATGCGTATAAGCAATTTCATTTAGATTCCAAACACCCTCTTAGCTCCCTTATAATCAAGCATCTTTCGGTCCGAAACGCTGAGGAGAAACTTTAGAAAATTCTCAAGGAAAACCTATCAACACCAAATTAAGCAAGATAATTTTCACTGATTGGGAAAAAAATTACATCTGTGAAATCTATTCCGTTTTCTTAACCCAAGTCTTTCAGCTACTAGCACATGATGTATGAAGACAAAGGAAAAAGAAAAAATGGGGACATACTTGAGCAAAAGTTGCATGTCAGGTCCGGGATATTTGATTTCTATTGTGCTTACATGTCCAGGAACTGAAAATGTGTTCAAACAATCAACAAAAAGTCCCAGGCTCACTCCAAATCGTGGACGTCCTTGAGCGCCATATTCATACCGAATGAAAAGCTACAACCAGGAATCACGAGGAATCAAATTATGCACGGAACCACTGTCGATAAGATAGTGGAGTCAGTCCAGAAAAATTGCATGTCGTTTTTTTCTAATTATTATAAAATGTTTACAATTCAGTTAGTCCAGATAGCTCATTAGGTTTAGATAAATGCAATAGCTCTTCAGTTAGCTTCGTTGTGTTGCAGGTAGTAGAAGGCTCAGAATCAGTAAGGAATACCTCACGTTGCAGGTAAACTTTGGCTTGAAGACAGCCAGATTCCTCGACGATCAAGACTATGCCATGTTCTGATAACTCCACTAGAGCATCCTAATTGTCAAAATAAAACATTCAAGAGAAAACAATGCAATTACAGTCTCTGGTATAAGAAAACCCTAAATTTTCAAAACATTAAACTTGAGAGAACCATATACTGCTATGTTCTGGTTCACAACTAAATAATTAAAGAAAATAACACGAAAATGTTCGTCAAAATCTACTAATTGAACAGGGAGAGTACAGGATTAAGAAGACTGGGAGTACGCCCGACCTGATGACGTTTCCATCGGACGGATGAGAAGGCATCGACGATACCTTGGACATTGTCGAGTTCGCAAACCAGATCCGGCACCTCTGGTTGAACCACCGGGGAGCTCATTTCTTCCTTCCCCGACAAACTCTCTCACCGGAACACAGTGTTCTTTTGATTGGCGGGAGTTCAGCCAAATTATAGCCCCGAGTAAAGATGCCAAATGGCCTAGCCCGGTTTCATACTTAAACTGGGCCCGGTCAGTTTAGGGAGTCACGAAACTTGGACTGGACAGCTTGACCCGATCTGCCTTTCAAGCCCTTGCGAGGCAGAGAGAGTTTTTCAGGTTAGATCTGGACCGTTGATTTCTTTTTACTTCCTAACCCTTGAAGTTGCCGGTTTGTATCTAGAGGATATACTTCCTAACACAAGAAAACACACTCTTTTTAGGTTACAAATGATGACTTATTTACTCAATAACAACTAGTACCTTTATTGACTAAGGGCAGGGAGATCGAATGATTAATTAAGTATCAAATTTTATTTTTTTCCAACTCAAAATTTATCACTTATTATTATTATTATTATTATATAATATCTATTATCTAAATACATTTATACTTACCATTTTTAACCCTAGACGTGCATTCATATATATATATATATATATATATACATATGATATTCAAGCAAAGATAGTTTACTCATCTTCTCTTCAAGTACGCGTGTTATTCGTAATAAAAATATAATAAATATAACTTTTTCTTGATAAATAATAATTATTTATTACTCTTAATTAATTCTTATTATTTATTAAAAATACCTCTTATATCATTATAAAATCAAATTAACAATATCAACAAAATAAACATTAAAATAAAATTTATAATCAAATGATTGTTTTATTATTATTATTATTATTTATCTATCATAATTTTATAAATATCAACAATAAAATACTTGTAAATAAATATGTAACATAAACTATATATAGCAATTATCATCACCAACTGAAATATTTGTCTTTATAATAAAATTAGATAAGTATATATTTATAGATGCGTTTACCGATTTATAACTATATATATAATAGAATTGATGATAAATTAATAATAGGATTTAGAATAAAGATTATGTTATTTTAATTTTAGTTAACATGAAATAGATCATAAGTTTTTTTGTTTCTTTTAATTATCTAATTAATGAAAACAAAACTAAGCACTAAAAAAAAAATATCTTTTACTTTTTATAATTTATTCAATATTAATTTATTTCAGTAAAAACAATATAAATATATATTAAGATCATTATATGGTTTCCTTATTATCAAAATTAATAACGTAATTACCACCTAACCATATTCTCATTTATAACTATATATGGTTTTAAAAAATTAAAATATGACCTATTAGAATATAATTCACAAACTCTATTAAGTTTTAAAAAGATTAATATATTACATTTACTTAATATATATGTTAAAATAATCAAAATTTTGAATAGGTCGTAGTCATGTAATAACCCTCGCCAAATTAGTAATATAGTTGCCGTTCAAATTAATATATTATATTTAAAATTATATCAAATTTTAAAAGATTCAAATATGATTCATTCAAAAACCATACTTTCAAGTTTTATTTTCGTTTTTTATTAACTCGGACTGTATAAATATACCTAATTTAATATTTATTCAAACTAATTATAAATTAAGTCCATGGAGCAATCGTTTAATTAGTCTATGAAATAATTGTTGTATTATAATAACATGTAAAAAATTTATTAATTTTAATAAATAAATAAATAAATAAATTAAAAATAAAACGATACATACTTCATTACAACAATTGAAAATTATTAAAAGTTAACGGATCAATTTTGACACATGGTTATTCGAATTATTTTTTATGTTGGAGAATTCAATTTCGATTTTTAATTGGCACAAAATTAATACACATACATATATACTATTTTGAATATTTAAAAAATTAAAAAATTTACAGTTAATTTTTTTTTTTTAAAGTTAAAAACGTAGACGGCCATGATCTGCTACAGCTGTTACATTGTGTCTCACCGCGCACACATACACGCGCACTGTAACAAATCTGCTTAAAGCAAAATTCAAAACAAAAAATCGGAGGGAAAAGCAAACGAGAAACAAGAAAGAAAACATTCACTTTCTCATGAATTCTGTTCACAAGCACCCAAACCCCCCGAACTGAACCAATCTTTATCTTAACTGTCAAACATCAAATCCTCTTCGAAAACCCTAATTCTCTTTACTGATTCACGGATCAACACCCAACTAATGGCTGAAGCCCTAAGTCCAAACCCTAAGCAGAAGATGGTTACAATGGCCCCTCGCATCCAGTCTCCGATAAGTTCATTCTTCCTTGGCTCCAACGACGACAAGCTTGAGAGAGCCCAAGCACGAGCCGCCAGAGCAGCTGCTATTCGTCGCAAGTCCCTGGCCTTCGCCCATGCACCCCCACCGCAGGACGTGGATCCTTGCCTTGGAAAAGAGCAGATTCTTGAGTTGTTCCACAATTGCATCAAACTGGCAAGTGAAAATGTATGTACTCGTTCCCTTTCATCCGTCTGTTCTTAGCTCCAAAGTTGTGTATGCATATATGCATATATTTTAATTTTATTTTAGACTAGAACTATTTACTTTTTAATAGCTTTCGGTAGTTTCTGCATTTAGGCATTAAATTTTAATGGAAATTGAATACAGAGGAAAATGAAAATTGAACCTTTTGCCGATATTTTCTTTATGGAGAAATGAACTTTTATGAAGCAAAAATGCTAAGAACTCAGGGCTGGTGGCACTGAGTTATAGCTGTTCAATCTTGAAATTGGTACTCTTTTCCGAACAAACGAAAATGGAATTTTAATGTTCTTTGTGGTTCTTTAAATGTGTTATTACAGAAGATCAATCAGAAAAATACATGGGAGTTGGGTTTGATCGACCATCTCTGCGAGATTATTAAGGTTGAAGAAGAGAATGATGTGGAGACGAATTTCCAAAAGGTCTGTTTTCTCATTTCCATGAGTTTGAAGCTTCACTATTTTACGAGTTTACATGACGCAGTTATAATTAGTATGTGCAGAACGGGAGAGTTTTGCTTTCGCTTAAAATTTTTAATATTCTGATATGAGTCCAGATTTCAGTTGGCTAAAAATCACGATGAAAAAAAGAAAAAGGCTATAGATGATTAAAGTAGTTCTGACTGAATGTCAAGAAAACAGTTCTGAAGTGTTCAGACATCAGTGCAAATGCTTCTTTTGTAGCTGATTCCAAAAATTGTTTTGCATCCGTTGTATGATTAAGAAATGTCCCATGCACCTCCATCGTACAGGCAAGTTGTACTCTTGAAGCTGGGGTTAAGATTTACTCATTGAGGGTGGACTCAACACATTCCGAAGCATACAAAGTCCTTGGAGGAATTAATAGAGTAGGCGAAGAAAATGGACAAGGTTAGGCTTCTCATGCAGCGTAACACGATTTATTGATACAGAATCTAGTTAAATCTGTTTATTATGTTGGCAACTTTTGTCGGACAAGTGGTTTCGTTGTGGGCAACTTTCTATTTCAAATATCTCTTTTGGATTGATAACTTGAAAAAAGGTGCATCTTGATTTCAGATTTGAACCAAGCAGCAATTATTAGAATCTGGATACGTGTTCAAATACTTATAAATAAAACTAATCTTAAGAAAGTTAAGAATTGTCTTTTGTTTCCTATTTTTTTGTCTGCTTTATATTTTCTGAAGTTACTAATAGAATTCTGCAGAGATGTTGGATTCTACTGAACTAGTGAGTTTATTTTTTATCTGTCACCTTTAAGGATGAGCAATTGCCAAATCATGTCATCTCAAAGAACGTTTGCACATTTCTTTTGATGAAAATTATTTGAGAAAGAAGTTTATGGTTGGTGTTGAGTAGGGCTTTATACTTGTGAGAGTTGATTAGTTTGTGGTTAGTCATGCCACGTAGTTGTGGGTTCATGGTAGTGGGCTTGCAGTGAAATAGTAGGTTATTCCTTGGGTAAGGTGTCATTGCACTGTTTGAGGTGTTACTGTTGTCTAAATTGCATTCTACTGTTGGTCTTGGTAGCTGTTAAAAATCTGACTGGATCACTGGTCATTATTTAACTAGCGGTTCTGAGTATTACCTATATCTCCATGCAGTGGCAGCCCGGGCAGGATGGGGTAGGGGTGGTGTTTAATTCAATAGCCCCCTCTTTTTAATTTCAAAGTATGCATTCCCTTAAGAGAATTATAAAACTGTCTGTAATATATTAAATAAATCAGGCATCTTCTCTAATAACACTAATTTTCTGTTTTGACTTTTTATACTTAAATCTAACGTGCTGCTGATGTTTCATCTCACACCTCATAACTTCTAATAACAAAATTATTTTTGCTCCCCTTGGAAAAAAAAAAACCTGGTTCTGCCACTGTATCCATGCTGATGATTTATTGACATGTCTTTTCAATCCATCCCCTTTTGGTTTCCATTTTGTTCATCCTTTTCTCAAAGCAAATCTAAATAATATTTCAACAGCTTGGGGAGATTAATTATTTCTTTTAAGTTCCTTTGATTTTTTTTTTAAATTGCTAGTGGCCCTTGGGGCGTTAGGTGCTAAGGGAATTATTTTGGTTTTTGTTCATTTTGCTATTGTTGTCTTCTAAATCCAGATACTACAGTGGCGGAGGACAAGAATGGTAGTGTGGAAGATGAAGGTCAGTCAAAGAAAGAGGCAGAAAAAAAGGTTCATTCTTCCTAGATTAAAGTAATAATTGCTTGTATTTTATGAAATTATAAGCTAACAAGTTTGACATGCAGATATCCCCATTATCAACACTTGAATCATCCTTCGAGGCTCTTAATGTAAAGAAATTTGATGGTGATAGCATCTCCCAACTATTTCCATGTGAAATACCACATTCAAATTATAGATACTTATGGCATTTCTTTGTGTTTTCAGTTGCATTTGCAGTGGACCCACTGTATCATCAGACCTCTGCACAGTTTGATGAAGGTGGAGCCAGAGGTCTGTTGTTGAACAATCTGGGAATATATGGTGATTGTCAGGTGCTCTTTGATTCACAAGAAATACCAGGGAAAGCAAATTCATGTGCACATCAACATAATAAATCAGAGATTATTGATCTTTCTTTTTCCAAAGGTTTGTTTGCTTTGTTTGCTTTACTAAATTATTACCTTTTATTCTCCATCAGAATGTCATGAAACAAACTCCTTGCAAAATATTCTTCCTGGCCTGTTCCAAAGCTTTAATTTTTTTTAACAAAAAAACTCTAATAGACTACTCAAATTCGTAACTCAACCTCTGCTGTTCATGTGTCCAAAATCAGTTCTTTTATGATAAATAATTGAAATAAATGCTGTCTTTTTAAGGATCATGAAGGCTTCTTAGATAATATGAGCGGAATTGACAGGCATTTATATGGAAACTTTCTAAATCTTCTCTATTTTGTCGAGGTAGACTGTGTTGTGTCAGTAGGTGACAAGCAATGTAGCAGCTCCTCAGCTTGTTTCTTGATGTACTAATAAAAATAGAATTTTCTGATAAGAGATGGCTTAAGCTTGGCTTATTTGTCATGATTTTGTCCGACTCTTGCCTCATTAGGGTTTAGCCATAGGCTAAAAGTAAGGTCACAAATGGAGAAAAGGGAGGGAGAAGAAGAGAGAGAGAGAGAGAGATAAAGGGAAAGAGAATAAGTGGAAGGGAGAATTTTGAGGACTGAATTCTAAATATTTTTCATTTCTCAGTTCTGATATTAACCATACATATATAGTACCAATTATTGGTACCAAGGATAGAATGATTGGTGTGAAGGAAAAAACTGTGCCAACAATTGTCATCATGAGCTGGCATGAATATTCCTAGCATATTTTTAGTAACTAACTAATAGTAACTTTGAACTCAAAATAGCCATTGTGTGTTAAAAGGTCGTTTTATACATATTTTCTGGGTTCATCTTGATCTGGTAATAGCCTGATCTCACTTTCACCTTGAAAAAGATTACAACTTCATGTAACTTGTTTAGAAGATCATAGGTATTGGAAATTTATTTTTCATCGTAATTGAGTTGAGCTGCTTGTAATCTACACAAAATCTCCATGCACTGTCTTTCTTATTTAATTAGGAGCACTGGAGAGGTAAATGGGCTATGGTTGGGTTGGATAATAGAGCCGTCCAACATCTTGGCTATTTGTCTGTCAATTTCTGTCTTTTGAAATAAGAGTATCTATAAGACCTGATGTTTACTGGGGGTGTCCCTGGTATTAGAAGAATGGAGTGATTTTACTCTCTTCTTAGTGTTAAAGAGTCGAGTTCTTCAAAAAGTTATTAGTATTTGGTGGTCATAGGTAATAATAGTTTCTCATCATCACTTGCCTCCTCCTAAGTTTCTTCTAGTTGGGTCTGACATTAAACTGAATCTACCGTGCCTCTCCCTTCTTGTTGCATCTTTAGAAGTGACATTACCAATCCGTTATATGATATCTTCTTTAATAGTCCTTCACCTTTCATCCCTTGTATGGTAACTGACTTCCTGTCTTTCTGAAGAATGACATGTATTTCCTCAAAATCAAATAACACTGGATTATGACTTTTCATCCAATCTGTTCCCAAAATTATATCATAGTTCCCTAACTACATCACTCTAAAGAATCCATTTAATCATATTTTCTGTATCCTCCAATATAGGATAGTGGCTCAGCTAGCTACCAATACCTTGAGGGTAGAAGCCTTGATTAGTTGAACCACACATCTTTCCACCACCGAAGAGTTGAGGAATATGTGTGTACTCCCACTGTCAATGAGGATAAGAGCATGTCTGGTGTTTATGATTCCCTAAACCTTTATTATACTCTCTTTTTCATGTCCTTCTAGTGCATGAAGGGAAATCTCTCCCATGGTTTCCTCTTGTGGGTTCTCCTCGGTTTCCTCTTTCTCCCTTGGTTCTTCTTTTTTTTCTTTGGTGGCATTTAACATTAGAAGTTGCTTAGACTTACACTGATGTCCTGGAAAATATTTCTCTCCGCATCTATAATAAGCATGGTTGTGCTTCTTGTTCTCGAAGGGTTTTAGTTAGAAATATTCGGGTTTATAGGTCTGTGGTGAGTAGTGTAACGTGGGTTTTCAGGTATGATAAAAACAGTATTAGGGACTGAATATTTGTGTGAGTCAGAGGGTGTTCGAACGGTACCTTTTTGGCGTTTCGTGACTGAAACACCTCGAGAATTAGAAGGAAAATAAATTTATAAATTTAATGCGGAAGTATATAATAACGTTAGGGTTTACATTATTTACACATAAATTTGAATGCCCAATAAGATTACTGAAATATCCCTTTCATAATGGTTCATAAAAAAAAACGAAATAAATATATGAAAATAGTAAATAAATGTTGTAAAGAGGTTAACCTCCACTAATTCTTGATGCGATCCGGGAGACACCTACCCACAACCCTTCTGCTGATTAAGATTTGGATCTTGATTTTCTTAATTTGAAATGGTTAATAGGGGTGAACTATACTAACCCAATAAGAATATCACATTATTTACCGATACGGAAACTGAAGATTGGTAAAAAAAATATAAAACGACTAATGAAACTTAATTTAAGTAAATTCATTTATTAAAAGAAAAACAATTTATTGCATACTTACCGTTATAAGATTTCCAAAATCAACGTATAAAAACAATAACTCAAATAACATTAAGATTTCTTATATAAGTGAGTAAGAACAACAATTTTTCATTTTTTATCTGCTTACTGATACCTCTTGGGGTTCATAGGGATGTTCTCCTACGCGTGAACCCAATATATAAACTTGTCGATTATCCAGCCGTCCCCATACCCCATGCGGTCTGAGCGCCAAAATGCAATCTCTCGATATCTCGTTCGGTATGAGGGTGAATCGCCCCATACACTATCCGGTATGAGCGTCAAAAATATCATTTCTTGATATCCCGTCCGGTATGAGGTGATGTTCACGGTAGGGTTTCCTATGTACCCGATCCGTTTACCATTTCTCAGCATATCCAGTAAAACAACTATTTATTAATTCACATCATCAAGCAATTTTCCATCTGTATATTAATTTCATATTTCACAATCAATCGTAAATCACGCAAAACAACCGATATATGTATTAAAAAACACAACTGAATCATTTAACTATTCTAATATAGTATCATGTATTTAAAGCTGTACAAATAAGTAATCAGTTAAACAAGATCAATAAATAACTAACCAGTTTTGACTCCATTAGTGACATGTAATTATTATCGAAGTTTTCTAAATTTCACAAAATAACATATTATTGATTTTAAGCTTCAATTTCATAACAGAGAATAGAGTGAAAGATTTTTACCCGAATCGGTATCCGAAATACCGTATTTTCTATCATGCCTCCTGGAGGTTTCCAAATTTCCTGAATTTTCCTGCGAAAATTAAACACGCTCAACGTATCTAAAAAAATACTCCAAAAATCCAAAATTAGTATTAAAAATCCATTCCAGTCAATTTTGAGATTCCGGCATGGGGGCGGTTTGTCTCAGCTTGGCTCTTTTCGGCCGGTTTCGGCCAACTTTACACATATCTTTGCGAAAAAATATGTTATGGAGTCTCGATTGGCCGAAAAAAGTCAGAAAATCAAAATTTATCGATAGTGGGGTTTTCGGGGGCGGCAGCTCCACCGGTTCTCCTTTGCAGTTGGGATTCATCATTCGGTCAACTTGCAGAAAACAGAATGGTGAACACAACGGTGGAAAAATCGCACGGAACAGGAACCGGGAAGCGGAGGAGGTTGTGGGTTTTGGGCCGCGGCGGTCCCGCCGGGCTTTGTCCACGGTTTTCGTCTCATCCACCATTTGTTTTGCTCCGATATGGTTACAAGTGTGCTCGAAATTGAATTCTGAGCGAGTAGGAGAATATTTACCTTTTTTGGTAGTTAGAAGTGGCTCAGGTGCGGTGGCAGTCGACTTTCTTCTCCAGCATCGGATTCTTCTTCTTCGTCGGGGGGGCTGGCAGCTAGGGTTCGGATTCTGTGTGATGCGAAATATTTATACTCACTCGTGTTAATATGGATCGTACATCGCGAT